AAACAAATCCATCCATCGGCCATGTGCAAAGTGTCTGTGGTTCCTGAGTCCCCCATCTCTCTGTGGGGCTGCTTTATCATCGATCCTCTGTAGTGATATAGCAATATGTTGACGAGAGTTCTTAAGTCTTTCAAAATCATTTTCAATGATAACAGTAGCCAGCATTTATACGCTCTTTGAGGTTTTTGTTTACTTTTACTATGTGTAGTTACTGTACAGTTACATACTGGGTATAGTCACCAAACAGTATGTAGTTACAGTATATTTACTGTTATAGTTATTGTACAAACTGCTTCCCTGGTTATTCTCATGTCCCTCTGCATCCGTATGAGTCTTCCCACATTTCTCTGAATCCATCCAATTCATCATTCCTTATAGCACAATAACATTCTGTTATGTTCATAGACTGTAATCTGTCCAAACAGCACCCAGGTGGCAGCATCGCCTTCACTCCCGTGCTATAGCTAGCCCCGCTGCCATAACAAACGTGCTTCCTTTCCCCCTTCATTTCATCTCTCAGAGATAGGAGCCCAGCCATGCCGATCAAGGAGAGTTCACAGTCTTGTGACTTTGGGGACAGAGTTCCAAATGTTTTCCAGAATGGCAGAACCGATTCACAGCTTTACCAGCGAGCTCCTTCCTCCGTTCCTCTAGCAGTTTCCCTCTTCGTCATCTCTGCTAAGCTGTGGGCCACAGAACCTCAAGAGTTAATTCAGTTTGTGGTTCCATCTATTATTAGTCATTGGGGCATTTTTTTCATACAGCTGTTAAGAGCTTGGATTTCTTTTTTTGAAGAACTGCCTGTTCATGTTCTTTGACTATTTATCAATTGGGGAATGGCTCTTGTTCTTATATCTTCCTTATAGATTTTAGATGTCAGACCTTTATTAGAGATAATTGCTACAATTGTGCTGCAAAATGCTTCCTAGTCCACTGTTCTTCTTTTAATTTTAACTACATTGATTTTTGTTTGTGCAGAAGCTCTTTAATTTTAAGTAATTAGAACTGTCCGCTCTATCTTCCTTAGTAGTGAACTCCTCCTCACCCATAGTTGTGAAAGGAATCTCCTACTTTTCTGCTGTATTTAAAATAATAATAATAATAATAATAATAATAATAATAATAATGTGACCTTTGATATTTAGGGTGAATATCCATTTGGAGCTTATTGTATGTAGGGAGGCAGCACCCCTATGATCTGGAAAATCTGAGTAATGTCTTTCGGCCCTCCCTTTGTACCAGAGAAGAAATATGAATTTTTTTCTTTTATGGAGTCTTCACAGTATTAAAAGATAAAATATGTTGGTATTATACAAGACTATACTTATATTTTATGTATTTTTGAGTTTCTAAACTTTTTCTGTGTTGTCTGCTGGCCTTCATGTGTAATCTGGAGTTTCCGCAAAACTCCCCCAAAATCCCCATTTAATTTCTTACGCCGACTGGCGATATATTGAAACCATGATGGTGAAAATCATGATGCGGAAGGGATAACTGTCTATGGTGTGAGATGCTAGTCTAAACCAGGGGTTCTTCACCTAGGGTCCATGAACCCCCAGGAGATCTTTAGATAGATTCAGGAAATCTATGAACTTAGATGGGGAAAAAATGACATCTTTACTTCAGTATAATCATCTTCCTTTTTAATCCTCTGTATTTTATTTTTGCATTAAAAACCTGAATCTGAGAAGGGGTCCAGAGGCTTCATCAGACCACTGCCCAAGGGACCCATGATACAGAAATGGTGAGGGACTCCGCTAGCCGAAACCTCATTTCTGACAGACAGCCGTTTTTGGCGTGTGACCCTAGGGGGGCTGGTCTTGTAATGTTCTCTGGAAGCCAGTGGCGTGCGCAGCCTGCCCCATCCATCCATCGCTTGTCCCTGCTTCCTGACCCCACTCCTTTTCAGCCCTACTTGGCTTTGGCGAAGGATCTCATTCTACTTATTGCTTGTAATTCGGTTAAACAAAATATCGGCCACATAACACCTAAAAACTTCTTAAGGTTCAGGGGACAGGACGCGGTAGGAAACGATGGCCTTTGGAGGCCAGGCCCGGATCTCCCAGACTTTACAAAAAATATAATTATGTCCTTGGCTCTGTCACGGAACCTCTGCGTGCCTCAGTTTCCTATGTCTGCAAAATGAGATCATAATCCCTTTACGGGATTGTCCATTTGCATCCATCCTGAGTTGTTAAATGCTGTTTAGATGTCTTTGTTTACCTTCTCCAGTGAGTTTCTCTTTCCTTTCCAACTGCCAGTCAGCTCCCTGAAGGCAGGGCTCATGCCTGCTACTGCTTTGTCTCCACACCCCCCCCCTTCTCCATTAGACTTAAAGGCAGGGTCTGTCTTTTACTCTTTTTGTGTCCCAGGGCTTAGCACAGGGCCTTGCACTAGTAGGTGCTTAATAAATGCTGATTGATCGATTCTCCTCTCCCAGTGCTGCTAGGAGTAGGTGCTCAGTTAGGATATATGGGACAAATGAGTGAACGGTCAGCCTTCCTCAGTCCACTGAAGAAAGGCTTCGGCCTTCAGACAGGAACCTTCCTCAGGAACACATGTAGAGGCGCCACCCCAGCCTGCACTTCCCTGCTGCCCCTCTCCCGGCCTTTCCAAACTAGCCAGTTTGGATTCCTTTTCCTCCCCGCCCCTCCCTCCCTCCGATCCAGCTCCCAGGGTCTTTGTCCAGCCTTCCTGGCTCTGTACGCTCCTCCCGTTCTTGCATCCCCAGGCTCCACTCTCTTCTCCCCTGGCCCCATTCCTCAGCCCGTGGCAAACACAGCCAGGAGCCTGACGGGGGCCCCAGGTGCCAACCAGGAGAGCGTGGCTGCCCTGCCCTCCTTCCCAGGAATCCGGGGTCATCAGAGTCTTGCCCTTTGGAACCGAACAGAACGAGGCCAGAGCCTCACCGGGCTGCTCACTAAATATTTAAAAAGCTGTTATGCCCACCTGCCTTAGCTTTCCTGCAGGCCCACAGCCTTCTCACTTTAATCATTAGTCATCTAATTATTTTCAGAGATTGTTTTAGGTCATTTAAATATCATTTAATTATTTTAAGGCATTATTTCAACAATTTAATTCTTAACTATTTTTAAGTTTATTTTTAGTAATTTAATTATTAATTACTTCATTATTTTTCTAGTTAGCCCTCCTCTGTCCATTTAGCACCTTTTCAACGTCCTTCCTAAAAGGTGCCTCCAGAACCGAATAGGAGATAGCAGGAAAGATGCTGGAGCTGATATCTGAGGACCTGGGTTCAAATCTGGCTCTACCATTTTCTTATTATTATCTTAATATTATTATTACCTCACAATATAATTATGACCTTGGCTCTATCACTGAACCTCTGCGTGCCTCAGTTTCCTATGTCTGTAAAATGGAGATCATAATAGCACCTCCTTCTGTAGGGTTGTTGTGAGGATCAGATGAGCTAATATCACAAAGCGCCTAGCACAGTGCCTGGCACCTAGTAAGCGCTATGGAAATGTTAGTTACTGTTGTTATTATTGATACATTATTGCAATATAGTAATAATGTAATTGCATTATATATTATTACGTACAATTATAACAAGTATGACATAGAAATATAATAAATATGTAATTGTATGTAATAATTATCATGTGTTATATAGTATTTTAATAATGGCATTTATATCACTAAGGTTGGTAAAGTACTTTACATTTATTATATCATTTGACCCTAACAATAACCCTGGGCAATAGGTACTGCTATTATCCCCGTTTTACAGATGAGGAAACTGAGGCACAGAGAGACCGAGTGCCCTCATTGCCTAACTGGTCACTGGCAGATTCAGGGTCAACGTCCTTGTGCCCTGGTCAAGGGAGACTGCCTTTTGTCTATAGAACAATCCCATGTTTTCACTTTGAGGACAGATCTCTCACTCACATGTAGAAATGGAGCCTTGAATGTATGCCATCAAGAATAGTGAAAGGCACACTCACTGAGTCCAGGTTCTTGGCCAGTGACCACCCCTCCTTCACCAGGAAGGCCCAGGCGACATGGTGTGGAGACTCAGCCTCTTCAGAAGAGCTCACCCTTGTCCACTGGCCTGGCTTAAGGCATCTTTTGTTCCCTGGAATACATCGAGGTCTCAGAACGCTTCCAGGGGGCTTTGATATGCTATTAAAATGGTGCCAGGGAATGACCGTGCCATGAGCATGCTTTGGATGCTGGTCCTTGGTGGTAGAGACAGTCTAGGTTCGGTCCCTATCGCTGCATCACGCAGGCCCAAACCTAGAGGAACAGAGATGTAGGGCCTTGTGCATTGTGGGAAGATCTCTTTCGGGGGAGGAGCTGTGTACAGGGCACTGGAAAGATTTCTGAATTTGGAATAAGAAGACCAAGGTTTGAATCCTGTGTGACCTTGGCAAATAGTCAGTCTACGTGAGTTATCAAGTGCCTTGGGCTGAGGACTAGGGGTCCTAAGAAAGACAAAATGCCCTGCCCTCTAGGGGCTTACATTCTAGTAGGGGAGAGAATAATCATATCAATAAGGATGTCTAAGATGTGTAATCTGCAAAGGAAGGCCGAGTCACTTAGGACTCAATTTCCTCACACAGAGCATGAAAGGGCTGAGGGAAGCCTTTAGACTCTTTCTTATCATGCATAAAATGAAATACGTAGTGTGATAAAGGGAACCGGTTATGATGGAATCGCTATCAAAATGCTCATGGACCCACGTTGAGAGCTCCTGCCTTGGATGACCTCTGAGCATCAGGAGGAAGACGGCAGGTTTTCTCCCATGACCGGAGAGATGAGGAACCTAAGGGAAGCCTCATTTCCCAAGGGCATCTTCCCCACAGAGGGCCCGGGCTGGAAGGGAGGGGAAGTGGGGGTGAGGGGCTAGCTGGCCCTCTCTGGCCGCCCCAACACCACGGGAGCCAGCGCACGGGATTCCTGGGCCCTTCTTCCATTCAAGGCAGCTCCTTTGAACCGGTGGCCTTGAAAAACCGTACCTCTTCTTGTATCTTTTGCAGAGCAGTGGGGATGAGATGGACACAGCCTGGTCTCTGGAAGACGTCTTCCATTTGATGGCGCCCCCAGTGGAGAACTCGCTGGAGGTAAATGGGGGGCACTTGGCTGTTGAGGCTGAAGGGCATGGGGAGGGAGCCCAGGGGTCAGCCTTGCCAAGCTCTCAAGGGTAGTGGGCAGGGCTGTGGGGGGAGGAGGTACCCTACCCTTTGTGGGCCTGGGCAAGTTGCCTCAGTTTCCTTCTCTGTAAAATGAGGAGGTTGGACTCAGTGGCCCCTTCTAGCTCCATCTTTGTGACTCCATGACTCAAGTTCAAACCCTGGCCCTACGACTCATGTAGCTGTGAGCACATCGCCTCCCCAGGAGCCTCGGTTTCCTCATCTGTAGTGAATGGGCCTGTGAGGTTGCTGCCAGCTCTACCACTTATGAGTCCGTGCATCCCTGGGAGCTGACATTGGTGGGATGATTTTTACAGAGCAGTTGAGGTTGATTAGCTCCCGTCACTCTCCTGGTGAAGCAGGTTAGGCTTTTTTCTGTTTTAAGGATGAGGAGACTGAGGGTCAGAGGGGTTGGTCACAGACCCAGCAGCAGGCTCAGGACCTGGACCGCCCAGGCCCAGCTGGGCCTTTCTCACTGTGGTTAATGAGCTCAGAGGGCCTGGCGGTGTTAGTGCTGCGTGGGGAGCGGTCAGCGGGAGGTCAGAGTCGGGACGGCTGCAGCCAGGAACAGGACCAGCCCCCAGCTACTCTTTGGGAGAGAGATGGCAGGATTTTCTCTCATTACCTCAGCTGCAGGTAAGGAGACAAGTGAATAAAATCCCTCTGAGTGACCTCATAGAATCCCAGAGTTGGAAGGGATCCCAGAGCTCATCTATTCCAGCCCCAAACCCCACAAAAAACAATATATGAAATCCCTTCTATAGCACTCTGACAAGTGGTCACAGAACCTCTACTTGCATACCTGCGGAGATCAGGAGCTCACCACCTCACAGGGTAGTCCCATCCATATCTGTACCTCTCTGGTTGTGAAGTTCTGATTTAAATTGGTCTTAATTCCACCCTTCTGTAATTTCTAGGCCCTGGTCCTCGTGCCAGATATAACCTTTCAGCCCTTTCCACATAATCACAATAGCTTAGATGTAGGTGTCTCTTTAAGGTTTGCATGGCACTATACAAATATTTGATCTTCACAATGACCCTTTGAAGTAGGTGCTATTATCACCCCATTTTACAGATGAGCAAACTGAGACTGAGAGAGACTTCTTACTTGGCCATGGGGAGCCAGCTGTTACATCTCTGAGGCAGGATCCAAATGCTAAGTCCAGCGCTCTGCCCACTACCCCGTCCGGCTGCCTGTGGATGCAGAGAACCCCGGTGCTTCTCACACTCACACACACTTATTCACATACATTTTCACTCACACTCATACACTTACACAATTCACTCCTATGCACTCTTCCACACCCTCACACACTTCCACACTCACATTCATATACACATGCTCATACTCATGCTTAAACTTACACACTCACACATATTCACATACACTCACTTGTGAGCTCACACACACACACACACACACGCTCAAATTTCCTCAAGGCTAACCCTCCTCTTCCTCCGTCTGTTGCCCCCCTCTACATCCCCCTTAAAATGTTATCATTAAACTTCCTCCAATGTCATCCCACCATTTATTGGGCTTCTAACAAGTCAGATCCCGTTGATACCTCGGTTACCCGGGCCATGTCTCTACATTACAGCAAGAAGGGACCTTAAAGGTCATTGAGTTCAATCCCCTCATTTTGCAGGTGAGGAAACTGAGGCCCTGAAAAATGAAGGGACTTGACTAAGGTCATACAGTTAGTAAATCTGTGGCATCCTAGCCCTCAGGCTCAGACTGTAGTCCAAGGTTCTAAACCTTTTCTGGGTCATGGACCACTCCCACCCACCACTCTGGCAGTCACAAAGGACTCCTCCTTTGAATAATGCTTTTTAAATGCATAAAATAGAATATGTAGGATGACAAAAGAAACCAATTATGTTAAAATATAGGATGCGGAAACAGAAACTGAGAAGTTAAGTAACTCAGCTGCAGTCACACAGCTATATTTTAACAGCAAGCTGGTTGTGAACCCAAGCCTGCTCTGCTATGCGCACATTCAGTGTGCTGTATGTTCTAATACTGACAATTGCATGGCTGTGACGGTACCGCCAGTGCCTGCCTGGCTTATGTGTCCCATGCAGTGACAGTCAAGTAACACTGGATGCCACACTGAACTCCCAGGATGCAGTTCCCCTTTCTCAGCCTATTTGCTTTCTTTAAAAACAAAAAAACCCAGCTTATACGTCACCTACTTTGTCCCCTGTGTCCTTCCCACCCCACTCCTAGCCATCCCATAAAACAAAAGGGAAAAGGGAAAAAACCCTGAAAAACTGAGGAATACAGTGCCAAACAGTCTGACAGTGTATGCACCCCTGGACCCTCTCCCCTCCTCCCCACCTCCTCAAAGGATGTTGCCTGACTGGATTTTCAGCTCAAACAGGGTGTGAAGGACTAGGCCCTAGAATCTCTCACTAGTCTTAACAATTTTCTCCTCCAACCCCCCAGCCCATCCTTACGAAAAACAGTCACTCAGAGTCATACAGCAATCAGTGGGAAAGTGATATCTATTTATCCTAACATTTTTATGTTTGTGGGGCAGCTAGGGGTCTGGGCCTGGAATCATGAGTCCTGAGTTCAAATTTGAACTCAGATATTGATGAGCTGTGTGATCCTGGGAAAGTCACTTCACCCTGTTTGCCTCAGTTTCCTCATTTTTTAAATGAAGATACTAATAGGTCCTACCTCCCAGACTTGTTATGAGGATCCAATAACATAATGATGAAATACGAGAATATTCGTAAAGCGCTTAGCCCAGTACCTGGCACGTAGCGGGCTTCATAGATGTTGCTATCATCACTTCAGTAAGATTTTTCTGTGAATCAAGGAGCTTAAAAGGGAGATAAAAATTCTTCATTAAAGGATAGAAAAGTGGGAGGAGGATTTCCTTAAAAGCTTCCCCTCTTAGGCCTAGCTGCCTTTGACCCAGGAGGCCTGCTTGGTCGGCTCCTTCTCTCTTCCCATAGGGCTGGGCAGGTGCAGAGGGGAGGCCCCGGGGCCGAGGCCAGGACAGAAGCCAGCTTCATGTCAGGAGCAGGACATGGGATGAATCTCCTGAAAGTGGCAGAGAGAATGTGCTGTGTAGGGAAAAGCCTCCATCAAACATCTACTACGTGCCAGGCAGAACACGAATGAAGCAAAAACCACCCCTGCTGCATCTGACGAAGGGAGGGAGAGAACACGCAGACCCCCATGTGCAAACCAGAAATGGGGACAGCAAAGGCTTCTGGCAGAAGGGGGGATTTGAGCTGGAACGTGAGGGAAGCAGAGGGGGACAGACAGGAGGGAGAGCAGCCAGTGGACAGAGCCAGGAGATGGGCAGCAGCGTTGCTGCATAGAAGACTGGAAAGAGAGGAAGGGGCTGGGCCTGAAGGCCTGAGAGGAAGGGGGAGCCCACTGGACTTCTTTTGGGGAGGGCCTGTGCTTCAGGAAGGTCACAGGTGGCCTGGAGTGGGGAGGGTCTTGAGGCAGGCAGCCCCCAACCCATCCCCAAGGCTAGAGCAGCAGGCCAGGGGAGGTGGTGAGGGTCTGCACCAGCTGAAGGGGGGGGGCCGTGAGTGGAGCATGAGATGTCCTCAAGCAACGTCACAAAGGGAGAAACAAGACGTGATTGAATGCATGGGGTGAGTGCTGGGGCAGGGCCAAAGGTGCCATCCAGCGGCGACCCCGGAACCCTGGGAGGAAGGAAAGATGGGAGGGTTTTGAGGAAAAGAGCATGGCTTCTATTGTAGACGTGGTGAGTTTGGGACCCCAGGTCGAGCTGACCAAGGATGAGTGACGGTAGTGAGACACTGGGCAGCATTCACAAGAGAGGTCTGGGCTGGATACTTAGACGTGCTCATCGGACCTCTGGGGCAGTAGAAGCAGCAGCAGAGTCAGTGTCCATCTGAGGGCCTGGGTCCGTGCCTCAGCTCAGCCCTTTTGTCACCCGGTGTGGGGGACATGCCCTCCCCTGTCCGGGCCTCCGTTTCCTCATCCGTTACAAGGACACCGAATTCATTGCTCGCCAAGGCCCCTCGAGTGTCCAGGTCCACCGCCCATGCTCACATGGACTCGGGAAGCACAGTCTTTGGAATGGGCGGTCATGTGACTGCGACACTGGCCAGGGCGGACATGGGGCCCCAGACAAGGCTACGAGAGGAATTCTAACCTGTGTAAGGGAATTCCGTTCTGAGCAACAACCCTCGAGGTGCAAACAGTCAATGGGCTAAGTCTAAGGATTCTGACGCGCCCCTAAAAGCAGGCTCAGACTGCGAGGACGGGAAGCTTGCTTTCTTTTTCAGGACGTACAGTTAGTTTTGACAACTCAGAGTTTTAACCGATTTAGTTTAGAGATGTGGCCAAGCGAGGCAGCATGTGTGTGTGGGGTGGGTGGGGGGTGTATGCATGTTTGTATGTGTGCTCGTGTGGTATGTGTAGCATGTGGTTTGTGTGTGTGTGTGATATGTGTATTGTGTGTGTATGTATGAGGTATATGTAGTATGTGTGTATGTGTGGCATGTCTATTATGTGTGTATGTTGAACTGTAAGTATGTGGTGTGCATTATGTATATGTGTGTGCATGTGGTATGTTAGTGTGGTATGTGTATTAGGTGTGTGGTGTGTGTGTTACATGTATCCATGCGTGGTATGTGCATTGTGTGTGCATGTGTGTGGTATGTATATTTTGTGTGTGTGTGCACGTGTGTGCGTGTGGCATGGGGTAGTAGAAAGCCTGCTCCTTGGGGTCACAAGCCCCTTTGGCAATGCAAAGGGAGCCTTTTCAAACTCCCATCTCTAAATGCATAAAATAAAATACGTTGGCTTCAGAAGGGCCGAGAACCTGTCGCCCTCATAGCCTTGGCTCCTCATGCGCTGAGCCGTCCTGGACCTTCCCTCACTGCCCAGTACTGGTGTGAAGCCAAGATGGTGCAGGAAAGGTAGACACTCACCTGAGCTCTTCCCAAAATGCCTGCAAATACTTTAAAATAACACCATGAAACGATGCCTGGAGTCACAGAGTCCGCAAAAGCATGGCGGGAAATACTCTTCCAGCCAAATACAACCCAGAAGGTCAGCAGGAAAGGTCTGTCACACCCAGATGAGAACGGAGTACGGTCCAGCGCAGGCCGAGCTAGCACAGACCTGGCCACAGCCAACCAGGAACGGGCCTTGGGAGTGACTGAATCAGCAGTGGCAGCAGCTGCTTCCAGAGCTCTCAGCCCACAGACAGTAAAGGGGTCAGAAGGAGATCACAGGGGCCTCTCTGCTAGCACTGAGGCAGCGCTGCTGCTTTGTGCGTATTGGATCTGGGTTGCCATCCTGGGAGGTGGTCCCCGGACGAGGAGAAGCACTAGTACACCAGAGCTTGCTGCCACAGCGGAGCAAGGACCCTTGTTATGGTTCCAGGGCTGAAAAGAGCACTTGGGGTCACTCACAGACCAGAGCACAGGCCAGGAGAGCAGTAAACATCTCTCCTTAGCTCATACCACCTTGGAAGAACTGAAAACTTACCAGTGTCTCTGAAAAAAGATGTACAAAACCCCTGAATCTGGGGACAGTGTGCTCTCCACCCTGGTGGCAGAGCCCCACTTTAACAAAAGAGTTAAAAAGTCAAGAAATAGGCTGGGAAAATGAGCAAACAACAGAAAAAAATTCCTAGCATAGAAAGTTACTATGGTGACAAGGAAGATGAAAACACACTCAGAAGAAGACAACAAAGTCAAAGCTCCTACATCCAAAGCCTCCAAGAAAAATATAAAGTGGTCACAGGCCATGAAAGAGCTCAAAAAGGATTTTGAGAAGCAAGTAAGAGAAGTAGAGGAAAAACTGGGAAGAGAAATGAGAGTGATGCAAGAAAACCATGAAAAATAAGTCAACAGCTTGCTAAAGGAGACCCAAAAAAATGCTGAAGAAGATAATTCCTTAAAAAATAGCCTAACCCAAATGGCAAAAGAGGTCCAAAAAGCCAAGGAGGAGAAGAATGCCTTAAAAAGCAGCATTGGCCAAATGGAAAAGGAAGTCCACCGCTCACTGAAGAAAATAATTCCTTAAAAATTAGAATGGAGGGGCAGCTAGGTGGTGCAGTGGATAGAGCACCGGCCCTAGAGTAAGGAGGACCTGAGCTCAAATCCGGCCTCAGACACTTGACACTTACTAGTTGTATGACCCTGGGCAAGTCACTTAACCTCATTGCCTAGCCAAAAAAAAAATTAGAATGGAGCAAATGGAAGCTAATGACTTTATGAGAAATCAAAACAATGTGAAATATCTCATTGAAAAAATAACCGACCTGGAAAATAAATGCAGGAGAGATAATTTTAAAAATTATTGTATTATCTGAAGGCCATGATCAAAAAAAGAGTCTAGACATTATCTTTCAAGGAATCATTCAGAAAAACTGCCCTGGGGCAGCTAGATGGCACAGTGGGTAAAGCACCAGCCCTGGAGTCAGGAGGTCCTGAGTTCAAATGTGGCCTCAGACACACAATACTCACTAGCTGTGTGATTCTGAACAAGTCACTTAATCCCAGTTGCCACACACACACACACACACAACCAAAACGCTGCCCTGATAGCCTCGAATCATAGGGTAAAATAGAAATTGGAAGAATCCACCAATCACCTCCTAAAAGAGATTTTTAAATGAAAACTCCCAGGAATATTATAGCTAAATTCCAGAGCTCCCAGGTCAAGAAGAGAATATTGCAAGCAGCTAGAAAGAAACAGTTTAAATATCGTGGAACTACATTCGGGGTAACACAAAATTTAGCAGCTTCTACATTAAAGTATCAGAGGGCTTGGAACATAAATATTCCAGAGGGCAAAGGAGCGAGGATTACAACCAAATATCACCTAACCAGCAAAACTGAATATAATCCTTCAGGGGAAAAAATGGACATTCAGTGAAATAGAGGACTTTCAAGCATTCTTGATGAAAAGACCAGAGCTGAACAGAAAATTTGACTTTCAAATACAAGACTCAAGAGAAACATGAAGAGGTCAACAGGAAAGGGAAATCATAAGGGACTTAATCAGGTTAAATTGTTTACATTCCTACATAGGAAGATGATACTTGTAACTCATAAAAACTTTCTTATTATTAGGGCAGTTAGAAGGAGTAATATATGGACAGAGGGCATGGGTGTGAGTTGAATATGAAGAGACAATATCTAAAAAAAATAAAATTAAGGGGTGAGAGAGAGGAACGTACTGGGAGAAAAGGAAAGCGAGGTAGAATGGGGTAAATCATCTCACATAAAAGAGACAAGAAAAAGCTTTTACAGTGGAGGGGAAGATGAGGGAGATGAGGGGAGTGAGCAAACCTTACTCTCATCAGAATTGGCTCAAAGAGGGAATAACATACATGCTCAACTGGGTATAGAAATCTATCTTACCCTATAGGAAAACAGGAGGGGAAGGAGATAAGAGAAGGGGGAGGTAATAGAAGGGAGGGCAGATTGGGGGAGGGGGTAGCCAGAAGTAAAACAGGGTGAAAGGAGAGAGAGAATAGAATAAACAGGGAGAGGGAGAAGGGGAATAGGATGGAGGGGAATGCAGTTAGCAACCATAAGTAAAAAATATTTTGAAGCAAATTTCTCTGATAAAGACTTCATTTCTCAAATATAGAGAACTGAGTCAATTTTATAAAAATAAGAGCCACTCCCCAATTGATAAATGATCAAAAGTTATGAACAGTGTTCAGATGAAGTACTCAAAGCTATCTGTAGCCATATGAAAAATGCTCTAACTATTGATTGGAGAAATGCAAATTAAAACAATTCTAAGGTGCTACCTCATACCTATTAGACTGGCTAATAGGGCAGAAAAGGAAAATGACAGATGTTGGAGGGGATGTGGGGAAAATGAGACATTAATGCATTGTCTATGGAGTTGTGAACTGATTCAACCATTCTGTAGAGTGATTTGGAACTACGCCCAAAGGGTTATAAAACCATGATACCCTTTGACCTACAATACTGCTACTAGGTCTATATCAAAAAAGAAATAAAAACAAAAAGGAAAAGGACCTATATGTACAAAAATATCTCTAGCAGCTCTTTCTGTGGTGGCAAAGAATTGGAAATTGAGGAGATGCTTATCAACTGGGAAATGGCTGAACAAATTGTGGTATGCAATTATGATGGAATGCTATTGTGCTATAAGAAATGATGAGCAGGATGCTCTCAGAAAAACCTGGAAAGACTTACATGAACTGATGCAAAGTGAAATGTACTGTGTACAAAGGAACAGCAGTATTGTAAGACAATCAGCTGTGAATGACTTAGCTATTCTTAGCAATATAATGACTCAAGACAACTCCGAAGGACTTAGGATGAAAAATGCTAGCCAGCCCCAAAGAAAGAACTGATGGTATCTGAATACAGATTGAAGCATACTTCTTTAATTTAATTTTTTTGAGGGTTTATTTTTTTTGGTCTGTGTTTTCCTTCACAACATGACTAATATGGAAATGTCTTGCATGACTGCACATGTATAACCTATAACAAATTGCTTGCCTTCTCAATGGGGCGGAGGAGGGAGAGAGGAAGGGAGAGAACTTGGAACTCAAAGTTTTAAAAATGAATATTAAAAATTGTTTTTACATGTAATTGGGGAAAGATAAAACACTAAATAATTTTTTAAAAAGAAATACAGTTATCACAGTGGGAATTTTTTTTTTAAGAAATTCATGGACCTCAGGTTAATAAACTCTGGTGTAGTGGGGGTAGATTCAAATTCCAGCCTTGATTGTGTGTGAACCTAACTAAGCAAGTCATTTCTCCCTTCTCTGGGCCTCCGTTTCCTCATCTGTAAAATAAGAGGTTCAGGACAGCTAGGTGGTGCAGTGGATAGAGCACCAGCCCTGGAGTCGAGGACCTGAGTTCAAATGTGGCCTCAGACACTTGACACTTACTAGCTGTGTGACCCTGGGCAAGTCACTTAACCCCATTGTCTAGCAAAACAAAACAAAACAAAACAAAATAGGAGCTTTGGCCTAGAAGGCCTCCGAGGTCCTCTCCCAACTCCAGAGCTGTGTGATTTATGATGAAGTCACCTACCCCTCCATGGGCTTCTGTAAAAGAGAGAGAATATCCTTCCTTACAGGGTTCTTATAAGGATTAAATGAGATCATGCATATAAAATGTCTGTCCAGTGTGACATGCTATATGAATAGTACTTCTGTGCTGTGTTTCCTCAGTAGGTTTGCATAATATTGGAATTAATTTTTAATTCAATTCTGCCTTTGTGCCAGGGCTGAGCTAGGCCACCAGCCCTTGCCCACAAAGAGCTTACATTCTACAGGAAGGATACATAAAAAGAGGGCAGGGAAGGACAGAGACCCTCCTTCCAACTTACCAACCAGGCAGTCTTTTGCCCTTTGGGTGGAGCCCTATCGAGCAAATGTAGGGGGGACAGGAGACCCACAAGGATGGGCGGGCACGCTTCGGCAGAACACGGCTCAGGGCCTGCTGAGTAGTTAGCAATTAATAAAGGTTTGCTGATGAATTGATTGATGGGTTGGTGATCTGCAGCCCTGGAGGGAACACACAAATCTATTTGGTGAATGCCTGAAAAAAGCATTTATTAAGAACTTGCTGTGTGCTAAGCACTAGGGATGCAGATGTTTTTTTAAAAAGGGAGACAGCATCTGGCCTGGAAGGGCTCACGTTCTCCTAGGGGAGGACCACAAAGGTCCTCCGAGCAGGGAGGTTGGGGGCTCATGGCCACAGATCAGATTCCTGTCCACTTGCAGAATGCCTCTGGCCATCCTTTACCTATAGAACCTCCCTGTTTACACATAATTCCACCCCAAAGTCCAAACCCTCCCTCCCACAACCAAGGGGGATGTCAGAAGTCTGTGCTTTGTCGTTCCCTCCAGGGCATCTCATCTCGGCCTCTGCCTCTTCTCTGTAACAGCAGCAGTGATGGTGTGGATGGTCCTGGTCAGTACAGCGTGAACTTCAGCCAGGCGATTAGTCACGACGTAAGCCTCCATGAGGCCATGTTGGCGTGCCCGGACACATGCAGAAGAGACACAACAGCCAGGCATCCACAGACCCAGGATGCATTCTTGCCACTGAATTCCAGCAATGCCCTTCCTTTTCCAGGGATGGACTGGGCAGGCTTTTCTCCATCTACTGAGAGTAGGACCAGGAACCTGACAACCCAAGACCTTCTCTTGGACCTTGATGAAAACATATTTGATGAGATAAATTTAATATCTTTTGCCATGGAGGAGGGCTTTGACCCAATGGAAGTTTCCCAGCTCTTTGAAGAACCAGATTCTGATTCTGGACTTTCCTTAGATTCCAGCCACAGTAGCACATCTGTGACCAATCTTAACTCATCAGCTTCCCCGTGGGATGGCGAAGGTGCTGTGGGTTACAGTAGTGATGCTGAATCTCTCTCCCACCAGGGGCTAGAGGGAGCTGTTGGAGGTCACTGGCCAGAGACCAGTGAGCTGTGCTATATGTCAGATTCAGAGCCTTCTGGAGAACCTACATTGGAACATATTCTTCACAACCACACTTACTACCTACTGCCAAGCCCACCATCATCTGAACCTCTCCTTCCGTGCCCTCAGAAGTCCCAGACTGTAAAAAGGAGCGGTGACCTTAATGACCGGGACATTGCCCTGGGCCAGGACAAACACCACGCCAAAACCCTGTGCCTTCCCTTCTCAGTGGATGAAATTGTCAGCATGCCTGTTGACTCCTTCAACAGCGTGTTAGCCAAGAGCTTCCTGACGGACACACAGGTGTCCCTGCTCCGGGACATCCGAAGAAGAGGCAAAAATAAAGTCGCCGCCCAGAACTGCCGCAAACGCAAGCTGGATGGGATTCTGAGCCTGGAGAAGGATGTAGGCGACCTTCGAGCCCAAAGGGAGAGCCTTCAGCTAGAGAGGGCCCAGTACAGTAAGTCGCTTCACCTCATGAAACAGAAGCTACACAGCCTTTATCGGGATGTTTTCAGTAGGTTAAGGGATGACCAGGGCAGGCCTGTCAACCCCAACCTGTATGCTCTTCATTGTGGCCAGGACGGCAGTGTTTTAATTGTGCCCAAAGAACTGATGACTTCCGGTCTTAAAAAAGACAATCAAAAGGAAAAGGAGAGAAAATGAGGGTAGGGATTCTATAAACTGGACCTCTCCGGAGGGAAAGTTACATTGGTGAAGGACGCCAGGGGAAATGGGGTCATATTAACAACTGAAATGGAATTGTGAACATGTTGAATCTTGGTGACTTCTAACTCGGCACAGTCTAGGCTGCTGCTGTCCAGAGGTGCTCATTCCTGAATGATCAAATTAATATTTAACTGGCCCCAAAACCCAAGCAAGTTCAAGTTTAGTTCATGGGGAGGTATTGCTATATGGGGCAGCCATGTTTTTTTAGCATTCGGTAGGTACCATACTGCTCCTCCCAAAAGAGGTGATAGACCAGAATTTCTGAGTCAGATGTAGGGTGTGAAAGCATTGGACAACTACCCAGGCATTTTGGGTAGTGGCCATATTTTGTAGTAAGATGGTCACTTTCAAGCCAAAAAAAAAATCCTTTGTGTTAGAAAAAGATTCCATGTTTTCATATGGAGTAGCCTCTTAAAATTCAAAGGGATCTTTTGTTCTTGTTGAAATCTGACTCTGTGAGTCAAAACCATTTGGGGTTTTCTTGGCAAAGGTACTGGAGTGGTTTGCCATTCCCTTCTCCAGCTCATTTTGCAGACAAGGAAACTGAGGCAAACAGGATGAAGTGACGTGTCCAGGGTCACACAGCTAGGAAGTGTCTTGAGACTGGATTTGAACTCAGGTCTTCCTGACTTCAGGCCCAGCTGCCCCAAAGTGACCTAAGTTTTTCAGATTTTTTTTTTCCATTTAGTCTGTTAGCACTGGAGCCCAGATCAGTCTGGCTTTTCCAAAGCAACTTTTAATTAAAATTTTTTTGTGAATACTTAATTTATGTATTTTTCTTGCTATGAAATTAAATTATGTATTTGTAGAAAACTAGCACGCCCCCCCCCCTTTTTTCCCTGAATACGTCCCGGTGGCTATTCAGACTTTTAATCTATACTGAAATGTTAAGCAAACTGGCATTGCTGATTCATCTTGTTACTTTTACTTACTAAAACTTCTTTTAGGCCTGCTCTGGAAACAGGTATAATTTTCAGATCTCTAAGGTGCTTATATCAACGAATGGCTTTTTTTTCCTTAACACCTAACCCGATTTTTCCTTGCTCTGAGAAAAAGAAAATTTATCCTGTCAGTCCTCTAGCGGTCTTTAGTGTAAGGTTTTATTTGGAAACTCCTTTTAAACACTGAATTTTCAATTTAAACCCAGGACATTTCAAAACCAAAAGAATTTGCTTACGTAATTGATTTAGGATGAAATCAAAATAGAAAAAAAAATAAAAAAAAGTCAGCAGAACTAGATTGCCCACCTTTAAACAGAGAATCCTTATTTCCAAAATTTTACTATATAGATGCCACCTTCAAAACTTTTTTACCATGTGCCTGTTTCTTTAAAGTGTTGTTTTGAATTAAGTAGTCTCTTCCATAAGGAACAGAGGGAGTTTAGAAGTATGCTGTTTCCAGATATTGAAAGTATGACTGTTAAGTATAAGTGTTTCAGAAACAGTTAAGGAGAGATTATCATGAGGGCCATCACGATGAGAGAGCAGAAGGCTAGTGTGAAACAGTTGTGAAACCCTGCGCCCAGTGAGTCTTTTGGGACTGCCTCCATTTCACCCAATGGAAAGGCCAAGATGCCAAGATGAATTATACTTTTCTTAATGAAATAAAACATGTAATGATTTTTATCTGCCATCCTTCCCATCGACATTCATGAAATCATCAGACCCCAGATTGTCCAATCCAGAACTAGGCCGTAAAAGGCCGCCTTGCTGTGGAGGGGGGCAAGGCCTGCAAACAGAATCCTGCTTCACAAACTGCCATGATGCCCTGGCTCAATAGTACTGTGTGCTGGGTTTGTTTAAAATAAAGTGGCTTCCCCTCTCCCCATTTTGTCTTAAGACACATCTATCCTTGATCCAGGGATCCTATCAAGAAATGTTCCTGAGGTTGTGTTAAGCCAGGCTTTCTTCCTTCAGAAGCTGTCTCTCCCTTCCTGAACTGAAGAATTTTGGCTGGCTTTCCCCACCTCCTTTGAAAAAGGAATCGTCAGACTCAGGGTTACTCAAGTGTGGATTACAGATTTAGAATATATTAACCAGCAGGAAATTATAAGTTCCTTGAATGAAGGCTTAGATACAAACTGACAAAACAGTAAAGGACTTCATGGCCAGCGGGAAAATTGACAAGTCCAGCAAACATGAACTAAACAACAGTCCACAGAGTGTACACGTCGTTGTGCTAGCCTGGGAGTTATAGGCACCAGCTTCTTCCGGCCTCAGGGTCCTACCCAGTCTGATCAGTAGTCCCAACAGCCTCCTTCATGGACTGGATCTCCCCTCAGCATCTCAAGCAAGGAATCCTACAACAGGCCCTCCATGAAGACCTAGTCTAGGAAAGGGGAACCAAGTCCCTCTTGCCGATAGGCTGCAATTGTACTTAGCGGGAATCCTTACCGTTCTGCCCAGTGGCAGCACTTGCAAATCTCCATCCCTTCTCCCCCTAGCAACTAGGGGAGCACCCAAGCTTCCAATAACCTGAGGTTGTCCTAACCAGTCTTCCTCTAGGTGCATACTTCCCCCTTTAAAATTTCATCTCAATGGCACCTTCTGCAGACCCCCTAGTTACTGCTGGAAAAAAGCATTCAATTTTCCAACTATGGCTTGGAGACTTAAGTTACACAGCAGGTTTTCTCTTGCTGGGTTGTTTTCATTTAGTCATGTCAGACCCCTCTTGGAAAAGCTCCTAAAGTGGTTTGCCATTTCCTTCTCCAGCTCATTCTACAGTTGGTGACTTGCTCGGGGTCGCACAGCTAGCACTCACCTAAGGCTAATATCTAGGGCCACATTTGTCTCCGTGCCTCTAGGCTCCTTATTCTATCCCCACTTGCCCCAGCACTTACATGAAGAGGTTCAAGCAAAAGAAAAATGGGCCAGTTCTTGGCTATTTGGTACCAAACCATCTGTAGAAAAAGTTGAATCATTTCAAATGGACAGTTTGCTTCTGTCCCTAACAATTGAAGCACACAGTATTAAATGCTAATTCAGGAATACCACTCTCTGCCTACAGACTGACCAAAGCTAAGTAAGCTGGGCAGCCATGGCTAGGTTCAGCACGTAACATCATTAAAAGGCTAACCTTTATCGAGTCCTCTAACATGGGCACTTTCCTAAGTTATTTTTTAATAATATAACCTTGCTGGAAGGCTCTTTGGAATACAGGTCCACGTTGATCATTTGCAAGCCTCTTTTCTGACCTGTGGCAGTCCAAATGCCAATGGAATGAAGTTTGGTAGGCAACCCTATCAGAGCCCCAATCTCAATTTACCTTCTGTTCCTGACACACACCCCAGGCAATTAAAGGGAGGTGGGGCGAGCTCTTGGGGGAAAACAGCAAACCCAAGGTAATGACTGTTAAGTTACATTGTAGACAGGTACTAATGCATAGAGCAGGAAGCTACATCCCAGCTCCTAAAAAGCTGCTTACAATTGAGTTTTTTCAGAAGTAGGTCCTCCTGACATTACCATTAAGCTCCTTTGAGATGAGGCCAGTCTCACATGCATTATCTAAACCCTTTAACATCTGGCTTTTCCACGTGGAGAAATGGTTCTGAAGTCTATAGTGACGGTCACCTTGTCCAATGTCTTGGCCCCACCCCTAGAGCAGCTGAATATCTGTATGAATTGCACAAACAAGCAGGGTTTTCTCTCATTTAGAACAACCAAGACTGTCCTTTCTGGGCACACCTGGAAAAAGCTAATATGACACAATAATTGCTGTTGTGAATGGCTTTAGAAACATTTTGGCAATATTGTAATCAGTAGAAAACCCAAAAAAACTCCTTTGCCCCAGCCTAATGAGCAGCTTCAGTTTTAACAATTCCTGAAGCCTGCCTTCTATAAAAAGAAAAAAAACTCCCCAAAGAGACAAAAAACCCACGTAAACATAAATTCTGCTTTTGAGCCACCAGGAATTGTAAACAAAACTCATTCCACTTGAGCATGTTAAAACCAGTATTTCAAGTGTTTCTCTTCCAGAGTTAATATAAAGTTCATTTGCTTTATTTGGGCAAGAGTAATTTTTTTGTCAAACATTCCATCACATGCATCAACGTAACTGTAAAGAGACAGAAGTCGTCTTGGGCAGTAAGCTGCATTTTCTCCCCCACCTCGGACTTTGCCTTTTTAAAAAGGTCATTTCATTAAGCCCTATCTTCAGATACCATCATCCACCCAGTCATATGGTTGCACGTACTCCAACCCTCCCAACAGTACTCTGTAGAGGCCTGCTTTCTCCAACCCTTTGGAGAACTGCCTCAACCAGCAGGACGACACCACCACCGATTTTCCTCTGTGTAAATTGAGATTCATTGTACTTGTGCACGGAGCCTGCATTCAGCCCTGGGAATGTCATTTCTAGCCATGACAACATGCAGAGATTCAACCCGGCCAAACAGTCATCTGATATATATATCTCACACCCTGTACACCTTGTCATACCACTTAAACAGCCCATGTTCTGGGTTAAATTCTTACATTTATAGGTGACCTTAAAAAAATTACTTTTTTGGGGGGGGGAGGTTGAGAGCATCATTGTTCAAAGCAAGTGTAACACTCTGCAAGTACAATCTAATTACAATATCCAGGTATTTAAACTTCACTTGATTCACAATGCTGTGTTGTAAAAGGTTTTAAAAAGGAGCAATTTTTCTCTGAAAAGTTAATAAAATTCGTCATCTAACATTAAGAAAGCCAGGTAAACAGAAAAACTCATGATCATAAAAATATAGTAAAAAATACAAGGGCAGTTAATGCAAGCAAAACAGAATCCACATTCTTGTCAAATGTGCCCGTTTTAAATGAAGACTTAAGGAGTAGCAGTATTCCTTTTAGACAGCTACAAGCCTATGAAATTAAAAAAATGCACACATTGTGTGTGTAATCATCACACAAAGTACTTGGATACAAAAATGTTTATTTTAAAAACTTTAAAAAAAGGCCAGTTTTGTCTGTTCACAAAACCGTTTTAAAAACACCATACAATTTTAACGCTGGCTAGTAAGCTGAATTTCTGATGATTACAGACAATTCTCATCACCGTGATTTGAACTGATCATTTTGTATCATCATCCAAATACATTTCCCTTTCAACTAACAGTGCTTTTAAAAATGGAGGCACCAACAAGAAATATATTCAGATGGTACAGAATCTCTTATTTCCTGAAGACACTCTGTGGTTGACCACTTCTTCATTAGTTACCTGCAGCAAGACACATTCCTGCCAAAGAAAAAAGAAGTATCTGAAGAGGTTTATCAATGTGCGCTCCAAAGTAGCTATCAATCATTTCAGTGGTGGTCGTAAAATTTTAGTGGATTGACTGGTGAGAACCTAGCAATCTCTTGGTCATATCCCACCCCAGGCAACAAAGCCTCATGTAGAACTGCAGAAGGATACAACTTAGAGATCCTGTAAGGCCTACAAATGGAAATCGCCTACACAGCCTACTTTTACAGCGGTACTGGAGAAAAATGAATGTCTGCCACAGGTTAATCCAATGGAATTGTGCTGCTTGGGATATGGGGAAAGACACGATTTATGTATAATA